AGAAGAAATGTGACCTTGAGCTTGAAAAGTACGGAAGGATAGGAAAAGATTAGATGAACTGAGGGAAAGAAGATACAGCCGAAAAAAGAAGCCCCAACCTGGATGGTGTGGAAGAAGATTAATTATTTTTTTTGGTCAGAGTCTCACTCTGTTGCCCAGGCTGGAGTACAATCACATGATCATGGCCACTGCAGCTCTACCTGCTGGACTCAGGCAATCCCTTTGCCTCGGCCTTCCAAGTAGCCGGAACCACAGGCGTGCATTACCACATCTGGCTAAGTTTTTGATAGATTGTTGAGATGAGGTCTTGCCAAGTTGCCCAGACTGGTCTCAAACCCCTGGGCTCAGGCAATCTTCTTACCTCTGCCTCCCAAAATGCTGGGGTTACAAGCTTGAGCCATACCACACCCAGCAAAGAAGGGGGTCTTTAACTTTCTTCTCAGACCCCAAAACCTCTCTTTAAACCCTAAAACTGTCCATAAATCCAGACTCTTACTGAAATTTAGCTTTCTAGAAAGTGACTGCAAGGAGACAGAGGGAATTGGAGTCGGGGTCTCCCCCACCACCAGTGTACACTACCAGAGCTCTGGCCCCCACTCTCTGCCTAGTGGTCCAAGGCTTCTCTGGCAAAGATGGTTCTGTCTGGGCAAAACCCAGAAAAGTGGCATCCCGGAGTGGGTGGGGAGAATCCAGAATGGAGAGAGCCTCGGAGGGCTAGGGTGGAGTATCTGGCAACCACCCAGCAGGCTCCAGCATTCCCCAACCCTCTCGTGTCCCCTGGAAAGGATCCGCTCCCTTCGGGAGAGAGCCAACAGACAGGTCTGAGCCGGCCTGCTCCTTTGCAGACAGAGAAGGAACAGGTTGGGGGAGGGGGCCTGAAATCTTGGTGAGGAGTGGTAGGTGGAAATCCCACATCTCGTTTGAGGAGTAAGGGGCTGAGGGTACTCAGACCTGGGCACACCCTACCAAAGCTCGGGACCCAACCCTTTGCCTCCTCTGGCCAGCCCGCTGCCTCTTGGGGAGCCAGCGGTCTGAGCCCCTAGGTGTGAAGATGGTTCCTGCCCACCCCTTCCCAAGGAGCCAACCTCAGTTCACTTCCCCTCCCCTGGGCTGGGCAGGTTCAGGCCAATCTGCGAAAGAGCTTCACAGCAAACATTGATCTGTAATAAAACCACAATGTGTGTTCAGGAGAAGGGATTCCAGACACACACATTGAGGGAGCCAGACAACACACATACACACATATAGGTACGAAACATGCAGCTCTGGGAGGGCAGCCACCAGCAGTCCTGAAAGCACATCTACACATGGACGCACATTGTGTCATATGCACAAACATTATTACTTCTACACACCCCCTCCCTGCCATAAAATCAAAGTCTTCTCCAACAGTCCATTTTCCCCGTGTTCCCATAGCACTTAGCATTTGTATGTAGCTCTATATTAACATCTGCACTTGGCATTATCATTCATTATAATTCTCCATTGGCTAGTCTGTCTTCTTGGGGAATCTGAAGAATCCTTAAGGGAACGGATCTTGTCTTATGCAAGGGAACATCCTCAGCATCAAGAATGCAGCCTGCTACTTAGTAGGACTAGGTGGGGGGGGGTTAATAAATAATTGTTGTCTTAAGGAACAAAGAATGAATGCATTGTGACAGGGGACACCCATTTCTAGAATCCCTCAGAAGACTGTGGAAGATAACCAGTGCATGTACTCATGCCTCTGGCTCTTCTTGTCTCCTGGTCCCCTGGACTCCCCGCCTCTCAGCTTCCTCAAAGACTCTCCTTTCCCTGTCTTCCCTGGGTGTGAGACTGTGAATTTGAGTTCCACCTGCAGGTTGGCAGGCAAGGCAAGGGTTAATGACACCTCATTAGTGTTTAATTGGAGGAAGGAAGCTGCCTTGGCACCAGACAGGTGGACAGGCCTGCCCCTTGCTGGAACCAGGCATCCCCAGTTCCAGCACCCTGCCAGGCGTGTGGGTGATTTGGCCCTGGAGACCCTCAGCCCAGCCGGGGCACCTCCCCCCATCACTTGTTCTGCCAATTTAGTCTCCAGGCAGTACAGACCAGCACTCCCCATCTGTCACCAAACATCCAGAGGGAGAGCAGACTCCTTATCCTTTCTCTTTCAGCTGGCTTCGCCCCATCCCACCCCCAGGAAACACTGGAGAGTGGGAGGAGGGGTGGGATATGCAGTTGGACCACTGAGGGCTAGGTCAGAGAGCCACTCGGGGATGGATTCCAGATAGAAACAAGAGATAGGGCTGGGATGTGGAGATGTCTGCCCAATTTGACCTTAAACGAAGAGAATGCAAATGAGATGCAGACGATATGCAGATAAACACAAGGATCTCAGCATCGACATTCCTGGTGGCAGCAGCTCTGCACCCAGGACCCCAGTGCGGTTGCCAGTAACCCCCTCCTAACCTTTCTGGGTTAAGTGGGGCTGAACATTACTTTGAGAGAGAAAAATGATCTCAAGAAAGATAGCAGCGTGGTTGTTGAGGGCCACAGGACCTGGGAGCTGAGCTCCACCCTAGCTTCCCCACCCCATCCCAAGCACTCACCTAAGCTGCCACAGCAGCTCAAACAAACACCACTCTCTAGCTCGGATGCTCTGTCGGTTGCTATGGGGACCCCCTCCTCAGTTCCAGACCTGAACCAATGGGCATCACCATTGATGACCTCATGCCCCATGCCCCGAGATTCTATTGGCTATTTGGAGGCCACAGTGCACCCTTTTCAATTGCATCACCGCTGGGGATCCCCCATGACCCTAGCTAGTGTGGCCACCTGAAAGAAGAGTGCACTGGGAGGTCACATTGTGCTGAACGAATGAATGAATAAGGAAAGGAAATAAGGAACGAATAAAAGGGAAGAAGAAAAAAGAGGTCACAGAAAAAGAACACAGCTTCAGGGTTTGGTTTAGGGGGAAAAGGGCGATTTGCATCCCTGGAAAGCTGGCCCAGGACCCGGGTCGCAGAGACTCGGGCGGGCTCTCAGGCCCTCAAGCAGGGAGACAGGGCGAGGTAAAGCTGAGTGGAATCTTCGCATCGGTTCGGGAGCGCCTAGGACAGGCCCAGCAAATTGAGGGCCCCACCCTCAGCCACCTAGCACTGCTGAGTTTGGGGGAGACCGGTGACGCCCCAAAACTTGCAGGCCTGCTCAGCCTCCTGGAACCGCGCCCTGGAACACGCCTGGAGGACTTCTCGTGGGCAGGGCCCGGTGCCCGGAAGACCTCGCAGCGCCTTCAGCCAGTCTCGGCCCAGCTTTCCAGGGGACGCGCCCCGGGACTGAATCAGCCGCCCGCGCCGGCGATGAGGAAAGCGAGCGTGGGGCAGGCGGGCTCGGCCTGAGCGCCGGTGGCCGGGCGGGCCAGGGTTCGCGACCCCCTCCCCCGCAGCCCCAGCTCCCGCGGTCGCCGAGGCATCCGCCCTCGCACCTGCAGGGGGCCGGCAAGGGCGTGTGTCTGTGTCAAGTGTGCGCGTCTGGCGGTGAGGGCGTGTGTCTGCTGCGGGAGAGCCGGCTGGGCCCGCGTCTCTCGCACATGCGTCCTTATCAGCGGCGGATCCGCGCGCCGGCCCCGGACGCGGGAGCGAGCGCGCCCGGCTTGTCCGCGAATAGGGGGTGCCTAGGGCCACTGGGAGCAGAGTGAGACCCCGCCGTTCTCAATTTAAGGCAGGGGCTGCTAAGCAGTGGCCCTCGGTCTCCTCCGCCTATAGCTTCGCTGGGGAGGGGCGGAGGTAGCAGGAAGTCGGTTTCCATGGCAACATATAGCCACCCTCCTGGATGCCGGTAGAGTCGGAATTCGAACCCAGGACCAGAAGACCTAGCCCACAGCGCCTCCTTCAGCTGATTCCAGCCTTTCCGCCGCGCCCCAGCCCCTCGCCCCGCTAGAGACCGAGGTCTGGGGTGAGGGCCCTGATACAGGAATACGCAGGCACAAGCACCTACAAGAGAGGCATCTTGGGGGAAGGGATTGACTCCAGTCCGCTCTGCCCGCGGTGTGGCCCTCCACCCCAGGCCTCAGCCCAAGCGATGGAATGAACGTGAAGGGTGACGGCTGAAGTCGACGCAGGGTGGTGGGGGAGAAGGCCCCACCGAGGGACCAGGATCTGACCTAGGTGCGCAAAGGGGTGCGGGAGGGGTTCGCAAACTCCAGCGCCCGGGTGTGGGTCTCTGGACCCCCGGCGCCCTCCCCTCTCGCCCCTCCCCTCTCCCCCCATCCCCGTGTTCACACGCTGCCTCTCGCTGCCGCAGCCGGCCGAGCTAATCAGCACAACATCCACCTATCGATCGCTGGCTGGGTGCCAGGCGGGCCGGCACGGTGCCAGCGGAGGCTGCGGGGCACCGGGGCGGGTAGAGCACAGCTGCAGGGGAAGGGGCGCCCTGTACCCCGGCTCCACCCAAGACCCGCTCAGAAAGAGCGCTCTGGTTGGGCTTGGGGGATCACAGTCTCGCCTACCAGAGGTGGGAGAGACAGTGTGGGCTGAGAGCAAAGGGAGCCCTCCCTCCTCAGCCCCACCCCCTCCTCCTTATAAAAGCCAAGAACAAAGAGGCCGCTGGGGAAGGAGGCTTTGATCTGACCCCACCTTAGCAGCTCTAGGCGGCACCGCCCAGAGTGCCCTTGGGGAGGGGGAAGGATGCCCAGCTCTCAGGGACCCAGGCATTCTGAAGCCCAGGTACTGTCTTCTCACGACCCCTTGCTTTTGCCCAGTGCCCTGCTCCGTGCTGCCAGCGCTTGGGCAGTGCCCCAAGCGGGCGAGCTGTCGGGAGCATCTTCCCCTCCTCAGCACAGGAAGCCGGCTGGGGAGGTGAGGGAGGGCGCCAAGCTCCACAGCTGCTGCTGGCACCCACCCCACCATGCCCAGAGGGGTGCCCACTGAGGCCTGGCATGGATGGCCTGGGTACAGCTGGCATGGGGGTCAGGCCCAGCTAAGTTGAGAACACAGGCCACAGGGAGTCCTGGTGCCAGGGAAGGAGCAGAGGGCAGTAGGTTGGGGAAGGCAGCAAAAAGATGGTCGTTTATTGAAGGTTTGGTCTAGACACTTACAAAAATACAAATTGGCATGAAATTCAACCTCATGACAAGTCCGTCTTCACAGAAGACAAGCAAGTGACCCCCTGACCCCCTGGGGAGGGCAAGGTGCTCCCCCAGGGGAGGGGCCCATAGGGCACAGATGGCCGGGCTTCTTCCTTGCCCTGGTCCAGCAATCCACCTGTCCCCAGATCTTCAGCCTTGGCCCCCTGTGGGTTCAAGGATTTGGTCCCACCAAATCCCAGTCTGTCTGGGGGCTGGGATGAGACCCTCGAAGCAGCCTACAAAGCCTCTGTGTTTGTCTTGCTTCAGCTGCCAGGATGTCCAGGGCTGTCTGCAGTTCCTCCTTAGCCTGTGATGAGGGGCACACCCCTGCAAGGGTCACCTCAGACCCTCTGACCTCCCCCATCAATGCGCCATCTTGGCTGTCTGGATTGGCACCCTCAGTGCAGGTGGCAGGGATCCCTCCTCCTCCAGGGGGTCTTGGGAGGGCTCCTTGGGGTGACAGGGAGGGTCCACTTGGCTCACAGAATTCGCAGGAGACGAAGAATCAGGAGCAGCAGCAGCAGCAAGAGACAGAGGGGACTGGGAGCGTCGCCCCCTCGCCACCCGGATGTACCACTCTCTCCGGGGCTCCCAACAGGATGGGCAGACTCGGATTCTGTGAGGGGAAAGGGTACCATGAGGGGTCCTCCCACTTCTGTAGCAGCCACCTTCTCACCCTTTCCAGGAGCTGTTCCCCTGTCCCCTTCTCCAGGGTCCCCAAACCAGCCACTTCCTTCCCATCACCCACCTTATCCTTTCTAAATCCCAGCTTCCAGATCTCCTCCAAACTCACAGACAGCCAGCCCAGCTGAGGCCTTGAAGTGCCTTGCCCCTGGGTACCCTTGTCCCTTGGCCCAGCCTACAAAGGCAGACAGCAGAAGCTCTCACAAGGCCAAAGGTGGGGGGAGAGGAGGCTGCAGCTTGAGGCCTGGACCCCTCAGAGTCCAATGTGCCTAGATTCTAGTGCACCCAAGGACCCCACTAGCCAGAAGGGCTCCCCAAGTCCCACTTACCTCTCTCCTTGCAGCAGACAGACACCTGGAGCCTCAGACACCGGCCAGAACTCTCCGGAGTTGGCACCGCTGGGGAGTGAGAAATTGGGAGGAAGAAGTTAGCATAGGAGCCACCCCTTTGTAGGCCTCAGACTCTGCTCCAGAGTCCCCTTGTCTTTTTCCAGGAAAGAAAGCTTGTCCTCACTCTGGGGCCACACCCCACGTACCAGGGCCCACCACGCCCTACTCATCTCCAGCCCCCCTTTCCTGGCTCCTCCTTTCTCCTCTCTACAGACTCCCTCCTGATGCTTCCCTCCCACTCCTGGGCTCAGCTCAGGACCCCCAACTCAGTTTTGGAGAACATGGCCCCCTACCCCGCCCTCCCAGTCCCTCTTTCCTGGTCCCCTCAGCTTCCTGCCTTGACCTGCAGCCATGGCACCCCATACCTCTCCCCACCTTCCCAAGAGGCATCCTGTATGCCCTCTGTCACTCACAGATGTAGTAGTAAGTCTCTCCAGGCAGGAACTCGAAGCCAAGGGAGAAGGGAGTGAAACGCTGAATCTTCTCTGAGAACTGAACATGGCCGAAGGGGAGGGAGCACACCCAGCGCTTGAAGGCACGGGGGCCCTCTGCCCGGCAGGCCTCGTAGCCTGGCCAGTCCACCATGTATAAGGCGAACGTCTCTGGGCCCTCGGGGGGCCCTGGGCCTTCGTAGTGGGGGCAGACGATGTCCAGGTAATCGTTGAGGCCCAGTTTCACCACCGCGTCACCTCGGAGCAGCCTGCGGGAGTCAGGCAGGGTGGGCTGAGGAGGGTATGGCAGCAGTGGCATGCTCACAGCCTCGACCTCTTGGGCTCAGGTGATCCTTCCGCCTCAGCCTTTCAAGTAGCTGGGACTACAGGCGCATGCTACCACGCCTGGCTAATTTTTTGATTTATGGTAGAGAGGAGGTCTCACCAGGTTGCCCAAGCTGGTCTCGGACTCCTGGGCCCAGGTGATCCTCTCACCTTGGCCTCCCAAAGTACTGGGATTCTAGCCGCCAGGCCAGACTGATAACTCTCGGGAGACAAAGAATTCAAGAAATGGGTGAGATGATCAGCCTCAGGTTGAGAGAGGCAGGGGGGTGGAAGTGCCCATAACCACACAGCCCGCATGTGGAAGGCTGCTCACCACACCCGACCTTTTGGCTAGAGCTGCCACATAAGTCTCTAGCCCATGCTCAGGACTGGGGTGTGGCACAGCACTAGGCTTGAGAAAGGTCAGGAGGATGAATGCTGAGCAGCAGCTGGGCAGAGGCAGGGATGCCAGATATGGCCACGGTGCAGCTAACGTAGGTGGAGACGGAGGACTGTGAGTGTCCCCAACAACAGAGAGGAAGACTGCCATTTAGATCTCCATCCAATGGTGAAAAGGACGGAGTGGGTACTGGGTGCCTCCATTTTTTGGCCAGAAGCAAGAAGTGCAGGCATGGAAGGGAGTCCATACCTTACTCAGCTTTCAGTCTTCTCAGGACTCCCTTCCCCACTTGGGGGCCAGCACAGGTGGGAAGGGGTAGGACAAGTTGCCCCCCCCCCCAGCACCTAATACAGCAAGAACTGCTTCCCTCTCTCCACCACACACAGTGATGCTTGACTTACAAAAGGCCTCCCACTGCCCCTCAATGGGTGGTCCGAGGACCATTTGTATCAGGAGTTCTGCTTAGAAATGAAGCTTCCTGAGTTCAAGTAAGACCTTCTAGAACACAAGCTGAGCAAGCAAAGGGCCTTATAAGCTTCGTTCCAATGCATCCCGAGTGCCTGGAAAAGCGCTCTGCACAAGACAGTACTTGAGAAATATTTGTGGATTGAAGGGGTGAACCAGAAACTTCAGGGTTGAGGGCCAGAAACCTGATTTTTTTTTTGAGTCAGAGTCTCGCTCTATCACCCAGGCTGGACTCACGCTCATGGCCACTGCAGCCCCGACCTGCTGGGCTCAGGTCATCCTTCCGCCTCAACCTTCCAAGTAGCTGGAACCACAGGTGTGCGCCACCACACCCGGCTAATGTTTTGATTTATTGTAGAGACAAGGTCTCACCAAGTTGCCCAGGCTGGTCTCAGGACTCAGGCAATCCTCTTGCCTCTGCCTCCTAAAATGCTGGATTACAGGCATGAGCCACCATGCCCGGCCAGAAACTGAATTTTTAACAGGTCCTCCAAGTGATTCAGAGGCATTGATCTGTAGCAGAGATGGAGGAATTCAGAATCCAAGGACAACAATAGCTCTCACCGCTGGGTATTGGTATTGTAATGACTCGTCTTTACACCGGCCCTCCCACCAGCACCCGCTCCCCTGAGGGTCTGTGAAATCCCAGAGTGCAGGGTCTGGGTCTTCTCATCTCTCTAATCCTCAGCAACCCAGTACAGGTCCTGGCACACAGTATGTGCTTAATAAATGTTAGTGCGTGAACGAATAAGCAGAGTCACAGATTGTCTCAAGTAGAAAATCAGAAAGGAAAACAGATGGCAAACAGAAGAGAGGCAGGGAGATTTGGGAGGGGGGATGGAAACAGTAAAATATACCGAGGTTCAAAGGCAGGCAGCTCAGGAGAGAAAAATATAATAGTTTATATCTGTACAGCCTGCTTCTCTGCTCATACATGACCTCAGTCAGACTGCATGACTTCCCAGAGTACTAGGTATTATTAGCCCATTTTACAGATGAGGTAAAAGAGGTTAGGGAGGTCAAACGACTTGCCCGAAGGTGATTAGGGTAGAAGGCTGGGGTGAGCCTGGAAAGAAACAGAAGGACCAATAAAGAGATGAAAACGTAGATACCGAATGAGATCAGGTGACAGCGAGAGCCAGAGGGGAGGCTCAGCAAGCTGGAGAGTGACCCACGCTCTTTCCCAAGGGGGAAGCCCCCTTTCTGGCTCTCAAGTCAGTCTGCCCCAACTCCGGCCGGAGGGAGAGAAGGGAGGGGGCGGAGCCCGGAGTGCAGGCAAGAGCCCCCCAGCTCCATGTCCCAGGACCCCACAAACAGCCCTCGGGGCCGGGGTCCTCCGCCCGCCCCCCAACACGTGCGGGCCGGGGGAGACCCGGGGCGCGCCTCGCCCCTCCCCCCTCCCCC